CTACCTATAATCCCAGCTACCCAGGAGGTTAAGGCAGGAGAATCAGTGTAACCAGGGAGATGGAGGCTGCAGTGAGCTGAGATCATGCCATTGCACTCCAGCTTGGGAGACAGAGTGAGACTCCGTCTAAAAGGAAAAAAAAAATTCAGGCCAGGTACGGTGACTCACACCTATAATCCCAGCACTCTGAGAGGCCAAGGCGAGCAGGTCATCTGAAGTCAGGAGTTTGAGACTAGCCTGACCAACATGGAGAAAACCCCGTCTCTACTAAAAATACAAAATTAGCCAGGTGTGGTGGCACGTACCTGTAGTCCCAGCTACTCGGGAGGCTGAGGCAGGAGAATTGCTTAACCCCAGAGGTGGCAGCTGCAGCGAACTGAGATCTAGCCATTGCACTCCAGCCTGAGCAATAAGGGCGAAACTCCATCTCAAAAAAAAAAAAAAAAAGACAGTGTCTTGCTCCATCCTTGCTCTATCACACAGGCTGGAGTGCAGTGACACAAATAGCTCTCTGCAACCTTGAACTCCTGGGCTCAAGTGATCCTCCCACCTCAGCCTCCTGAGTTGCTAGAGTACAGGGGTGTGCCACCACACCCAGCTGATTTTTTTTTTTTTTTTAAGAGATGGGGTTTCACTATGTTGCCCAGGCTGGTCTGAAACTCCTGGCTTCAGGTGATACTCCTGCCTCAGCCTCCTAAACTGTGCTGAGGTTATAGATGTAAGCCACTGTGCCTAGCCTGGGAGAGGATTTTTCTTTTCTTTTTTTTTTGAGACAGAGTCTCAGTTTGTCGCCAGGCTGGAGTGCAGTGCCACAATCTTGGCTCACTGCAACGTCCACCTCCCGGGTTCAAGTGATTCTCCTGCCTTAGCCTCCCAAGTAGCTGAGATTACAGGCACCCGCCACCACACCCAGCTAATTTTGTATTTTTAGCAGAGATGGGGTTTTCTCCATGGTCTTGAACTCCCAACCTCAGGTGATCTGCCCACCTCAGCCTCCCAAAGTGCTTGGATTATAGGCATGAGCCATCATACCCCTGTAGAAAAGGATTTCTTTTTTTCTTTTGAGATTGAGTCTTACTCTATCCCCCAGGCTGGAGTGCAGTGGTGCGATCTCGGTTCACTGCAACCTCTGCCACCCGGGTTCAAGCAATCCTCCTGCCTCAGCCTCCCGAGTAGCTGGGATTACAGGTGCCTGCCACTGCACCTGGCTAATTTATTTATTTATTTATTTATTTTGTATTTTTAGTAGAGAGAGGGTTTCACCATTGGCCAGACTGGTCTTGAACTTCTGACCTCCGGTGATCCACCTGCGTTGGCCTCCCAAAGTGCTGGGATTATAGGCATGAGCCACTGTGCCCAGCCATGGAAAGGATTTCTTATCACTGGTTTATAGCTACAGATTGTGCCAAACTGATGGCCAATCCATATCTGAGAACTAAGTAAACATAAGGTCACTGCCCCAACGTTATTGAGGAGGATCATCATCAAGATCAAGGGGCTTCATCTTTAGGTTGCTCCATCACCACCTGTGCCTGCTCCTCTCACTCTTCCCAGAGCCTTCCATAGACCCAAAAGCTCACACTTGCCATGATGACGCTGGGAACCAAACCCAAAGCTTTATCTGAGCCTTGAATCAAATCTAATTAGACTGGAATGGTCCTGAGTGAGACAGTTAATTCACTGTTGGCCACTCCTGACTCCTGACTGTTAATTGAGTATTAAGGACTATGCTCTGGCTTCCCAGGCTCTCATTCAGTATCAATATGGTCCCATTTACTGCCCAGTGCTATAAGCATGTAACAGCCAGATTTTTTTTCTTTTTTCTTTTTTTTTTTTTTGAGATGGAGTCTCATTTTGTCACCGAGGCTGGAGTGCAATGGCACGATCTCAGGTCACTGCAACCTCCGCCTCCTAGGTTCAAGCAATTTTCCTGCCTCAGCCTCCTGAGTGGCTGTGATTACAGGCACACGCCGCCATGCCGGCTAATTTTTTATATTTTTAGTAGAGATGGGGTTTCACCGTGTTCCCCAGGCTGGTCTTGAACTCCTGAGCTCAGGCAATCCACCCACCTTGGCCTCCCAAACTGCTAGAATTACAGGTGTGAGCTACCACACCAGGACTGACAGCCAGATTTTCTGCAGAACCCACCTTTCCACTTAAAATCTGAGAGTGGGCCAGATGTGGTGGCTCACACCTGTAACCCCAGCACTTTGGGAGGCCAAGGTGGGTGGATCACCTGAGGTCAGGAGTTCAAGACCAGCCTGACCAATATGGGAAAACCCCATCTCTTAAAAACAAAAAAAGAGACAGAGGAAAAAAAAAAATCTGAGAGGCCGGGCATGGTGGCTCACACCTGTAATCTGAGCACTTTGGGAGGCCGAGGCAGGCAGATCACCTGAGGCCAGGAGTTCAAGACCAGCCTGGCCAACATGGTAAAACCCTGTCTTTATTTTTTTTAATTAAAAAAAATAAATAAATAAATAAAAATAAATAAAAAATCTGAGAATGACAGTGGGCCAGGACTGAATTCTCCACAACGCTGACCACTCTGCAATAACCACCTGGTATTCTACAGTAGCCCCTTCACCCCTAGGCCCACCGGTTCCAGTTACTGATATAAATCTTCACACCACCCGCTTGACTCCTATTCAACCATCTCCTAAGAGTGGTACAAACAGATACCCTCCTCTGTGCCTACAACAGAGTCGGCCTGAAGAGGAAAGCTTCCCTCCCTTCCTTGTGCCACCTTTGAGAGATATGACATGGGGATGCCCCTAGAGAATGCTACCCCCCTCCCCAGCAGAAGGAAGTCCTTGATGGACCCCAAAGCCACATCCGGAAGCTGTCAGGGAAGGTGCTACAGCATAGGACCTCAAGCGCTGAAGGCAAAGTAAGTGGCGTGAGGCTGTTGGATGACTTTTTTTTTTTTTTGAGAAGAAGTTTCACTCTTTTTGCCCAGGCTGGAGTACAATGGCACAATCTCAGTTCACTGCAACCTGTGCTTCCTGGGTCCAAGCAATTCTCCTGCCTCAGCACCCCCAAGCAGCTGGGATTATAGGCGCACGCCACTACACCCAGCTAATTTTGTATTTTTAGCAGAGATGGGGGTTCACCATGTTGGCCAGGCTAGTCTTGAACTCCTGACCTCCAGTAATCCACCCACCTCAGTCTCCCTAAGTGCTGAGATTACAGGCATGAGCTGCGCCAGCCATCTGTTGGGTGACTCTTGAAGAAATGCTGGCTGGAGCCAGAGAAGGCCTGGCCCACACCCATGGGAGGAAAGCTGGGCCACAGAAGGGAGCTACTCCAGAGCTTTTTCGCATCCACAGATGTGCAAGACGCATGGATAGCAGCTTGGCAGGTCCACACCTGAGGGGGCTCTATGAGGAACTTCCTAGAAGAGGGGACCCTCACTGCCTTGGCAAAATCCTGTTGTCCTGCAAAGCCCACCTCCCTCCCACATAAAGCTGGCACACACTCTCTTCTTCACAGCCTTCCCAGCACACCACTGGGCTCCAGCTGCCATGCTCGCTGCTTCCTGCAGTCAGTCTTGTCTTCCACTCAGTCAGCATCCTTCCTAAGGACCAACCAGCTCTCACTATTCTGTACCTTCCTTCGGCTCCCAACAGTGCTAAAAACTCACACATTTGAGAGGTATCTGGACTACCACTGGATTCAAAGACACAAACTGATGGCATGCTGGTTGAATCTGACCCACAGGTTAGTGTTTGTTGGCACACAAGAAGCTGATTAAATATGTGAATTAGAATATTCTTTTAGTTTTTTTTTTTTTCTTGAGATGGAGTCGCTCTGTCGCCGAGGCTGTCGATCTCAGTTAATTGCAACCTCTGCCTTCCGGGTTCAAGCAGTGTATCAGAATATTCTAACATTTTAAGATTAGATTTTCTGGCCAGGAGTGGTGTCTCATGCCTGTAATCCCAGCACTTTAGGAGGCCAAGGCAGGCAAATCACCTAAGGTCTGGAGTTCGAGACCAGCCTGGCCACCACGACAAAACCTCGTCTCTACTAAAATATAAAAATTGGCCGGGCGAGGTGGCACATGCCTGTAATCCCAGCTACTTGGGAGGCTGAGGTAGGAGAATCACTTGAACCCAGGAAGCGGAGATTGCAGTGAGCCGAGATTGTGCCACTACACTCCAGCCTCCAGCCGGGGCAAAACAGCGAGACTCCATCAAAAAAAAAAAAAAAAAAAAAGATCAGATTGTCTAGCTTCTCTTTTTAAAAAAATCAGAATATCTGGACACTAAGAAGCTCCTTGTGTGGCAAAACTGGACAGAGATAAGAAGCTGCTCTCTGAGATGGGTATGTTCAGTCTAGCTTGCCTGGGGCCCCACGGAGCAGGTGCTGGGAAGGCCCTGCCCACATTCTCTCAGCTCACCCGAGCCCATCTGCAGCTGCGGCACACTGCTCTGTGCCTGGTGACAGCTTCCCACTGCCAGTGCCTGCATCTCTCTGCTTCTCTGCCTGAAGACTTTCTTCAGCACTAGTTGGCAACAGGACAGCCAAGAAGCGCCAGAGATTTGGTACCTTCGAAGAAATTCTCAACCCATGAGGTACAGGAGTCAGTGAATTAAAAGGAAAAAAAAAGAAGAAACTCACATTCCTGCCCTTTGGTGGTACAACATGAGGCCCATTCCACATGGTTATTACCAAGGTCCCCAGTGGCCCACAGTGGCAATATACTTCTCAATATACTCTACTGACTTTCTCCCTTTCCCACCTCACTTTCTCCACTCCTTCACCTGTAATTACTCGAAGCACATCCCAAATAAACTATCTGGTCCCAAGTCCTTGCCTCGGAGTTCACCTTGAGGAAACCCAAACTACATTCAGACAGTCTCACTTTTTCCCTTTTATGTGACCTGCTTGGCCCTCATGAACATAGCCCTGAGGACGTACCTCTGGCTGAGAGTGGCAGGATATACCTGCCCCTGCAGGTGCCTCCCCAATATCCCAGGACAGGGACAGGGAAGACTCACCTCCCCCGAATAACTGTACTTGCCCCTGAGGATCTGCCGGTATAGCCGGGTGCGGTTGTCATCCTCAAAGGGCATGGTGCCACTGAGCAGGATGTAGGCAATAACGCCCAGCGCCCACATGTCCACTGAGTTGGTGTAGGGCTTGCGGACCAGGACTTCTGGGGCAATGTATTCGGGCGTGCCACAGGTGGTCTTCATCAAGCAGTCATCACCCTTCTTTCGGGCACTGGCCAAGCCAAAGTCGGTGATAATGATCTTAGAGTCAGTGCCTGGATGGTAATAGAGCAGATTCTCAGGCTTGAGGTCTCGGTGTGTGATGCCCAGTGCGTGCAGATACCGGACGCCATCCAGCACCATCTGCAGCACCCGTGTGGCGTCACGCTCGGTGAAGGATCCCTTGGCAATGATGCGATCGAAGAGCTCTCCACCCGTGGCCAGCTCCATCACCATGTACACCCGCTCCTGTGTCTCGAACACCTCCACCAGCTGGATGATGTTGGCATGACGCACCCGACGCAGCACGCGAAGCTCCGACTCACACACCTCCCGCCCCTCCCGGTACTTGGTCTCGATCATCTTGATGGCATATGGCTGCCGGGTTGCACGATGCTCCACACGTACCACTCGGCTGAAGCTGCCTCGGCCAATTAGGGCCTTGATGTCATACTTAGCTGTCACACGTGGGTCAAACTTGGCCCTGTACTTAGCTACCCTGGCCCTGCGTGGTGGTTCTGAGGGAGGCTCTGTGTGGCCAGCAGTTGGGGTACTGGAGCAGGGGTGTGCATGTTGACTTGCTGCCGGGAACCCGGCTTTGACAGGGCCAACACTGTCCACCTCTGTAATGAAGTGCTTGTACACATCACTCTTAGTGCCACTGAAGGGCTCCACCTTCTTGACCAGATCCAGCTGGACATCCTTAGGTGGCTCAGGAAGGACCTTGCTTGTCCCACAGCCCATCACGGACACGAGGGCATCCTCTCCAGAGAGGCTGGCAGGACCTGCTCTGAAGGCAGTGCCCCGTCTACACCTATGCACAAAGAGAGAACAAGTCAGCACAGCCAGGAAAACTCAAAGGAAACCAGCCATCCTCCTCAGCCCTCCCTCTCCAGAAATGCAGTCTCATTAAAACCAAAGTCTTGGCCGGGCGCGGTGGCTCAAGCCTGTAATCCCAGCACTGTGGGAGGCCGAGGTGGGTGGATCACGAGGTCAAGAGATCAAGACCATCCTGGTCAACATGATAAAACCCCATCTCTACTAAAAATACAAAAATTAGCTGGGCATGGTGGTGCGTGCCTGTAATCCCAGCTACTCAGGAGGCTGAGGCAGGAGAATTGAACCCAGGAGGCGGAGGTTGCGGTGAGCCGAGGTCGTGCCATTGCACTCCAGCCTGGGTAACATGAGTCAAACTCCGTCTCAAAAAAAAAAAAAAAAAAAAAAAAAAAAGTCTTGGCCGGACATGGTAGCTCATGCCTATAATCCTAACACTTTGGAAGGCTGAGGCAGGTGGATTACCTGAGGTCAGGAGTTCAAGACCAGCCTGGTCAACATGGTGAAACCCTGTTCTCCACTAAAAATACAAAAATTAGCCAGGTGTGATGGCACACACCTGTAATCCCAGCTACTTGGGAGGCTGAGGCACAAGAACCAATTGAACCCAGGAGGCGAGGTTGTAGTGAGCTGAGGTCGTACCACTGCACTCCAGCTTGGGCAACAGAGTGAGACTCTGTCTCAAAAAAAAAAAAAAGAAAAAAAAATCCCAAGTGCTGGCTCTCATATATTTTCTGCGTCAGGAGTATGGCTTTGCTGTTCAAGAGCCCTGGCTCAACGCAGGGTCTAGCTGAATGGATGGCCTGAGCTTCACAGCTTTGACTCATATCTCCCTGGGCCTCAGTCTCATGCTGCTCTTCAACCCTGAGAGGCGGCAGGAACACACACAGCCTCAGCTGTCAGGGCGCCCACCCTCCTCACTCCTCTGCTGGGGCCCCTTATCCTAGCTGAAGTCCCATGTTCCTAAAATGTTAAAATCATTCCTCTTATTACTCTGACTCATCTTTTCTGAAATGGGGGTGTGAAGTGTTGGAGGCCTGCTCTCTAACACCATCACCCACCAGGGCTCAGAAAGCTGCTTCTCCAAGGCCTCCTTCAAGGATATCTTTCCCAGCCCTTTAGGCCTCCTACAGGGGTTGGTCCCATTGCAACAAACAACAAACCACTTCCCTGGGACTCTGCCCTAACCTCATTCTCCTGGAAGGTTTCCACTTCTTTGCTAATGCACCATACCCACCCTGGCAGTTTAACTCCCTGTTCCATTGTCTCTCACTTCCCCAGCACACTGCATGGATGGCTGAAATCCCACACAAGGCCCAGAGCTGCTGGAATCAATCCCAGTGAACTTGGGACCACAAGACTCAGTGCACTGCCACTGGGTGACTGCAAAACCTTCCTGGTCTTCATTCAAGAGTCAGAGGTGGGGCCAGGCGTGGTGGCTCACGCCTGTAATCCCAGCACTTTGGAAGGCCAAGGCAGGCAGATCACCTGAGGTCAGGAGTTCGAGACCAGCCTGGCCAACATGGTGAAACCCCGTCTCTACTAAAAATACAAAAATTAGCTGAGCGTGGTGATAGGGGCCTATAATCCTAGCTACTTGGCGGCTGAGACAGGAGAATCGCTTGAACCCCAATGGTGGAAGTTGCAGTGAGCTGACATTGCACCACCACACTACAGCCTGGGTAAAAGAGCGAAACTCCGTCGCAAAAAAAAAAAAAAGAATAAGAGAGGCTTGAGCTCAGAGAGAACACTCACAGTTTCACCCAGATTTAACTCAGAATAAAGATCGGGGTATCCTGCTCCCTTACAATGAAGATCCAGGAGCCAGTTCTTCCAGTTTGAGTCCCAGACAGAGATGTTCAAACTATGAATACCCTGAGGCTTGGGAGGCCTGGACAAGGTGCAGTGCTGAAGTTACTGCTTTCCAGAGGTCACCACCTGTCTACTGAGAGGGCCCTTCTCTGTGTCGACCTGAGGCCCCCAAGAGTTGAAAAGAGCTAGGATTTCCTACTAATTATGACATACGCGATGGGCTCAGTGGCTCACTCCTGTAATCCCAACAGTTTGAAAGGCTGAAGTGAGCGGATCGCCTGAGGTCAGGAGCTCAAGACCAGCCTGGCCAACATGGCAAAATGCCGTCTCTACTAAAAGTACAAAACCATTAGCTGGGCGTGGTGGGGCACACCTGTAACCCCAGCTACTTGGAGGCTGAGGCAGAAGAATCGCTTGAACCCGGGAGGTCGCGGTTGCAGTGAGCCAAGATGGCGCCACTGTACTCCAGCCTGGGTGACAGAGCAAGATCTGTCTCAAAAAAAAAAAAAAAAAAAAAAAAAAGAAACAAAAAAAAAAAAAAAAAAAAAAAAATAAAAAAAAGAAAGAAAAAAAAAAAACAAAAAAAAGCCCAAGGGGTTTAAAAAAAAAAAAAAAAAAAAAAGCGGACCACAGAGAACCCACAGAGACCATCAGACCTGTACTTTACCCAGGCTGGAGTATACTGGCATGATCTCAGCTAACTACAACCTTTGCCTCCCAAGTTCAAGCAATTCTCATGCCTCAGCCTCCTGAGTACCAAGGCGCCCACCACCATGCTTGGCTAATTTTTGTATTTTTAGTAGAAAAAGGGTTTTGGTATGTTGACCAGGCTGATCTCCAACTCCTGACCTCAAGTGATCGCCGGCTTTAGCCTCCCAAAGTGCTAGGATAACAGGTGTGAGCCCCTGCACCCAGCCAAAAACATAATTTCAATATGACATGGTGTTAAGCTTAAGAACCAACAGCAGATAATGTAGAATGATGCTGGGGTTAGGAATAGCTTCCTGATGGAGGTGATCTCCATGATGAATCTTTTTTTTTTTTTTTTTTTTTTTTT